TATTTCTTCAATTAATCTAAAATTATGTTTTATATGATATTGTGACAAAATATCATCAATTTAAATAATAATAATAATAATCAATCAAATAAAGCCGTAAGAATAATATAAAATAAATAGAAAATTCATTTGAGGGAAAAAAACAATTTGAAAAAATAGTAAATAAGAATGTTTAAAAATATTAAAATGTACAAAAATATACCGTTGTTGTCGAATGACAATAGAGACTAGGCTTTTAATAGTTTTAACTGCAATGAGAATTACACAATTCACAATTTTTGGTTTGTTTTTAAGCCAATTTTTATTTACATAGATATGTTTCCTAAAATGTGTAAGCAGGCTTTCATTCCTATATCCACGTATAGAGTGAATCATCAATTATTATAATTCGAATGTTATAAAGTTTATATACTTATCAGCTACTTATATTTTATTACCTTATCCCACATTTACGACCACGTCCATATATACATACAACTTTAGCTCCTCAACAATGCTGAAACAGTTTTTTTTATACATTCGTTATAATTATTCAAAATGTTATAATCAGTACTGATATCTAAATAGCGGCAATGACGCATATACGAAACAAAACCTTTTTATTCATCTACTAAAATATTTACGGAATGAACTGTATATATTTGAAATAAATATTCAAATAGAAGTGTTCCGTTTAAGTTATTTGAGAGAAAGTCAATCTTAGAATTCATATTCGATAAAGGAACAAAGAGCTTTTTACAAATCCGGTTAGCGAAGGAATTTTGTGGTTGGGTGTGTTAAATCCTTTATTGTTTTCCAAATGAAGTCTACGAATATTGTGTATATATAAATAAATACAAATATTTTTTATCAACTAACACCACCTCTATTACAATTGTGTGTGTGTGTGTGTATTTATATGTTTGTATTTCAACACACACTTATACAATAACAAAGACGTAATATGTAATAGTTAAAATAATAATTATGTTTCAATTCCTAAAAACCTCCATGAAGAATCCATTAATACTTCCTATATCATTGAAACTGTGATATTATTTTTGAACTAACTGTTATGATTATAATTCAATAAATTAATAACCACATCGACTTACAAGATGGGTAGTTGTTCACAAAAGCGATATTTCATGAGGTCTATTCCCTCTTGAACACTTGTAATACGCTGTTCAAAGCTCTCATCCAACATCCATTCATACCTACTACATATATCACTTGGTCAAAATTTTATAGTACACTTGAGATTAAAATGCAGATTTTATAGTAAAATATTACCATTTTAATTTTCAAAAATTCTACATTATATTACAATTTTATTACATCAATTAAACTTGTTTTTCTTAAGTAGCCATTGATACTATTTAAATAAAGTTCCTAGAAATTGAAAATCTCGAAACCCATAACTGACGATCTCAGTATTTTCAAGAAAATTAATTCAAAATTTTCTATCACTATTCAAATATTTTCCTCTAATTAGATCTAAGACTTTTCTGAGTATTCATTGAAATACAACGAATATTTTCAGATTTATTAAACTTTTTTAATTATTTTAACTACATATTCCCGACGCGACGTTTTGTTTACTTTGCGGCAACCGTGTTCAAAGGGCAGACAAGATGCGAATACCTAAGTCTACCCAGTAGAAGCTAATTAGCTTGACAAACCTCTATAATTGAAATCATTTCTGCCAAACACATCTGAGAATCTATAACAACTACATTTATTAACAGTAAACTGAATTTGAACCTCCTTCGCCTAATATTTGCATTGCGTTAAAAAAACTAACTCTCTTAGTTATTAAATGAAGTATAAGTAAAACATTTTAAAATTTCAAATTACAGAACTGAACAAAATAATTTCTTATTCATAAAAATTAAATATACTAAGTAAACTAAGAAAACGTATTACATAAACAGTAAACACATTTTTTTTATTAATTTTTAAGCTTTCAGATGCTTCATTTTAATCACTAAAATAATATAATATAATATAATTTGTGATACTGTTCAGAGAAATACGTTATTAAAACTTTATTTTCCGATTACTGAAAACAATCCGAGCATCGCTTTCAAATATAAATCCACTACAAAGTGCACTCAATTATAGCGAGATTGGTTGATATATTTATCAAATCTACATATAACATCATATAAAATACACTTTTAAATGTGTTTTTAACGTGTTAATAACATTTACGAATGAATGTTCGTCCACAAACTTAAATGTTGAATGAAAGTTCATTACAAATCAAACGACAGCATGTTGTGATTTATAAGAGTGAAAATTAATATTCGAAAACCAGTTGTTCTCGTGTGATTTATTCATTTAGAACAGACCTAAGATTTATTTATACAAAATTAGGCTGTAAATTAACTGTGCTGGGTTTTTAAACCGTTTAATTTGAGGAAAATTATACAAAATTGTAATTCAATATTTATATTCAGTGATATTACATGAGTTACATATAAAGTATACAAGTTGGTTGTGAAATAAACAGAGCTGACAATGTACTAAAACATTGATTTTATCATCACAACCTTATTAAAAGATAGCTTCTCTTTCATACTGAACACAAATTGATGACAAGATCCTTACTTTAATTGTACTTACGAGTTACGAGTCTAAACCACGATATTCTTATATTTAAACAACGTAACCAATTAGCTTTTTCAATTGTATTTTAATCATTTTTACATATGTGTTTTATTTTAATCCCTAAACAAACTAATCACCCACTTACGTGAAGACGTTATGAATATTGTATATTGTTAAATTCCTTAAAAAATGTATTAATGTTGAAAGTAAAGTAATAAAGTACTTTTAATTTTATTATTTTTATATGTATATATTTTTTCGGTTAATTACCTCACGTACATTCAATCACACCCACTTTATAAAACCAACAACAAATGAGATCATGATTTATTTAATTAATTATAAGCCTCTTTAAACACGTGATTGAAATATATAATTAATATAAAATATTTTGTTAATGTATGACCACGTTTGTTGTTTTGTGTATATGATAAAAACAATTTATATTTGAACATGTAGTTTGAAGCAGTGAGTATTGTTAATGTATTTTTGATAGATACGTTTTCCTATTGATAATTAATAGATTTTAGAGAAAACCAAGTGGAAACCAAAATGAATTTAGATAAGAAGTAGGCACACCTCCAAACTATTCGTTATAAAGTAATAACTTTTGTCAAATAATCTCAAACTAAATGCCTTTCATTATAATCGTATCTATTTTTAGATTATATTTTAGAAAACCATTTTTAAATAAAAATAATAAAAAATAATAATTTAACTTCCAATACTATACATCAAAAACAACTCGATTGATTTGGGTTTTTATGAAAAAGTAATTTTGAAATAGAATATATCCCCTGTTAACAGAAGCTTGCCGATTAATCAACTTTTTTTCAGAGTTTATAACAAACTGTGAGAGACGAATTAGTTTTATTTGAAACATATTTATCTTTTGCCATTTCATGTTTCAGTCAAAAATTTATATTTACCAGAATAAAAGCCTGAAAATTTTAAAACCTCATATAAACAAAATATTAATTCGTTTTATGTGGATAATATTGTTATGAGATTATTTTTAATAAATATATATGCATAAAGTTTATGTGAACGAAGCAGTTTAAATGTACAAATTTAAATGTAAATTACATAAATAGTTTCGGAAGTAAATTTTATATCAGTGAAGTTAAGGCTGTATTTTAATTTTCTAAATTGATTTCATAGAGACGTTTTCGATTCCACGGTTTGTTTATTAAAAGTCTGACGACTGAGCACTTCGATAAATTGAGATCATGATCTTGAACCTCTCGCTATGATAGCCATTAAGAAAAGTCTCCGTTATTAAAAATATATATATTTAAATAACTGTTTTACTTTTATCAAATGAAACTATGTACTAACATCGATTCCTCAATACTATTGAAGGAAATATTATTGAAGGGGACTTTAAGAATCTTATGGATCTATTTAAAGGATCTATCTTAAATTTGATTTTCTTTAATCTATTTTTCATACATTTAAAACACAAAAACATTTATGTTTATCTCTTAGTTGCTTTTTTGTTTTCGCATACCATATAAAATAGTTTTTTTCTGTCATCGATTTAAAAAGTCCTTATTTTTGTACTCCAACTCAACTACTCCAACTCAACTGTACAATTTGTACAAAAACTCACAGGCTATAAAGTTTATTACATTATAATTACTCAAAATCCCTACTCATATTATAAATGCGAAAGTAACTCTGTCTGTCTGTCTGTTACGCTTTCACGCCTAAACCACTGAACTGATTTTAATGAAATTTGGTACAGAGATAGAGTTGACCTTGAGAAAGAACATTTTAGTTATATATACATACGAGTGTATAAAATGTCAATAAATTGACGACAAAAATCGCAACGTAGCTTGCACGATGTGCGGACTGGCAACAACTGTTCTTCATATAACAAAGTTTAAACTTATTACCCACACCAGTCTCGTGTCTGATACGACCATGACACGCGACGTTGCCAAACCGGTGTGTGAGTGCGACGAAACGTTGATCATACGGGCTACGACCAGTTAGTCATTTCTTACAAAACAACATACTAGTACAACCAGACCATCGAAAGCATATTATTATAATGGAGGACGTGAAATTTATTGAGATTATATGCAATTATGAATTTATATATAATTGTAAACATCCCAAATTCAAAAAAGGCTGATGAGAATCCAAAAAAAACTACTTACGCATTATTTTTTTATATCAATTTGAATTAACGTATGAGTTTCATATTTTAAGACACTTATTCTTTTTTAAAATAAAAAAAGGAAAAGTACTTCAAAAATATATTACTTACATTTTGTAACATGTCTTGTGTATACATACTATTGTATTATTGAGTAATTGTTAATTTGATGGAATCTCCTATGTAACTATAAACGTAACAGGAATGTGTCAGGCAAAATAAATTGATTCTATTGAAAAGTATGAGACTATGCCCGCTAAATCGTTCCGTCCGATCAGTGCCGTCACGTGGCATGCACGGAGCGTTACAATTGTCGGCGATATTATTTTGCCGGTGGCGATACACTCCGTGCATGATACGCGACGTTGCCAAACCGTTACGCTCAGACGGCAAAACGGTGAGCACCCGGGTTAGAAACGAGTTACCAGTCTTCTCTTTCTATTGGCCATTTTGTTACCATCGGTTCAAGGAGACACCCGTACGCGTTCCATGCAAAATGGACGACGAAAAACTATTAAAAATTGTTCGCAATTATGAATTTCTATATAATTTAAAACATCCGAAATATATGGATAACGTCAAGAAGGACATTGCATGGAAGGAAATTGCGGAACAACTAAAACAATCCGGTATGTTTGATACTTTTATTTAATAAAAATATACAAAATGCAATTTGTTCACACAAACTTTTCCGCCTAATAGAGCTTTAAATTTAAACGTATAATAAAATATTTTACTTAAAATCCCAAGAGTATCGTTATCAAATTGGTGACGAAATAACTTCCAATTTTCTCTCTCGACTTTTCATTTTATGAGATGATAGGACTTTCATACGCAGTTGATACGATTTAGTAGGCATAGTAGAGCACATCGTGTTGATGGCGGTCCAGACACGGTCCTAGTAGCGTCATAGTATAATACTTTGTAGTAGACAGATTCCTTTAATGGTATATAAGAACATTTAACGAAAAATATATAAGAAATTCAACTTCTGCTTGCACACTGACTCTCCAAGTGTACCAATATTTAATGTATATGACGTTCTCTTTTAATTTTATTTCTTGAAAATGGCTTTTTGATGACTGAAAAATTTTAAAGTTTTACCCTGGCTAATTTTGTTTTACTGAGGTTTTCTTTTTAGTAGTAAATTGAAATCCTTATGAATTATAAGAGCAATGAAACTTACCTACTTACTATTCAAAATATGTCATAAGATATTACAGAAAAAGTAGATACATAAGTACATATTTTTAATTCTGTTGGAATTTAATCATATCACTAATTATGTAAACGATTTTATGTTATGATCATTTTTGTCTCAAGTATTGAAAAAATATTTAAAAATAGTTGTTAAATATAAAACGAAAAATTCTTCTACCTCAGTTTATTTTTCATATAAATATAATAATCTTTGTTTTAATTATATACGGTAAGAATTTACTTTTCAGCTGTTGCGTGTAAAAAAAGGTGGCAGTGCCTTCGAGATTCATACAGGAGGGCTTTGAACAAAAAGAAAGGAAAAACCGGTGAAGCAGCAAAAAATATAAAGCCATGGAAATATGAAGAGGAAATGTTATTCGTTACTCCCTTTTTCGTTGAAAGAAAAGCTCAAGATTACGTCGGACTAACAAGTGATGATGAATCATCAGATATATTTGACGAAAACAGTGCTGCCATCAACATTAAAGATAACGAAACCAATGTTAGTGATACCAGCTATACTAGACTAGCAGACGAAGATTCTGAAAAACCACACACACAAAATAAAAATACGAAAAAGAAGGTAGTTAAGCGAATATCGCTTAGGAGAAAGCCATTCCCTACAGCTGTATTGCTAGCAAAATTAGTTAACAACCAAAACAAATTAGCACCTCAGCGAGGACATGACGAATTAGATAGATTTTTCTTAAGCATCTCTGATACTGTTAAGAAGTTTTCAACTTACGAACAAGCACTGGCAAAACAAAGGATATTTTCTCTGGTGTCAGAAATGGAAATAGAACAACTCGCATCCTCAAGCTCAACTTCATGCTTGTTTAAAACATCACCACAGTGGACAATCACCAATACAATAGAAGCGGCTAGTCCACAAGATCAGAATTTACAATAAAAAAAGTAGCAGATTGTTTTATTGTAATACTATTAAAAGACTTGGGTTTGTCCAGTTCTAACATAAGTTCATTCTTGGAATGTGCATTGAAGGCAGCCCTAGTAGGATCGTTTCCGATGGTTAGGTAGATAGAGGAGCTTGGACGGTGGAGGTGAGCGTTTAACGTGAATCAGATATTAAACCTACGACTGGATCGACAGTCCCAGGCACTGTTGAAGCTCCTCTCCCTGCAAGGCAATGGACCCGGCATCACACAATGAATTCATGGAATGCTAAGAGGTTTGGACTTTTGGACATTTGGACGAGTCCTTATAAAATTGTAGATTTATGTTGCACTTCTTTAATAATTAAAAGCTAGGAAGCATAATAAAAATGTGATGTTTGACATATGCTTTTAAAAATTATTAAAAAATAGTTTTACACTTTATTTTGTTAACACTGAATATCTCTTAGCTTGGTATTCGTGTCTTGTTATTTATGAAAATACTCAGATTTCCCGTTTATATTTCGCCTTACTTAAAATGAAGTTCTAGATTAATACAATACCTGATTATTGGCATTAAAAGTTAATAACAAAAACATTGGTCTGGTCTAGTCATAGTCAAGATGACGATAAACCATTGATTTTGAATATACGTAGGTCATATTATGACAATTTAGGCTGTAGGTTGTACTACTTTAGCATTTTAAAATATTTAAATCAATGTATAAAAAGCCTTATTTTTGGATAAATAACTATATAAAACACATTGAGTGAGTATTAATTTCCATTACCCCGGAGCTGAGCTTCATTTATCGGCTATGCAATATTCATTAAGGCTTCCATAATTTATTTTATGTATTGCGAGCATCAATAAGCTTGTCACTCATGGCACTGTATTATTGAACGATTAAATAACAACAAATAATAACATTTTGAATTCTATGAATAAATAAACATAATGAAATGCATATTATAAATACTTTATAAATTCTCATTAGAGAATAAAACTAAATATATCAGCATTTATCGCAAAATTAAGTTTTTCCTTTATACATTTTTATATGCAATCGTTACGAAAAATGTTGTTAAATATAAAATTTAATAATAATAAATATTTAAATAGCCTATAAAAATCTTTATCGAATGTACTTTTTATTCCCTTTTTAAATCAAATAGCTTCATCACTGATACATGAATTATTATCGAAGACATGTATTATTTTTTTTGCAGGAACAATTTAACGTGCAAGAGAATATGATATCCATATTATATTTTTAAATCCTACTGTCGAAGAAGAGATAAGCATCTTTTGTTCAGGCTTATTGGGTGTTAAAAGAAGTTTGAAGATTCTTAAAGTAGTCTAATAAAAGGATAATAAATATTTTATTTCAAACGAGACGACGAACCAATCATTGCCTCGATGTATGAAAGAGAAATAAAAGGACAGTCTAAGAATAAATAAAATTAATACTCTTATAATGTTACATACATTATTATTACTCACAGTATTTCAGATATATTTTTTTGTAGTCTTTTATTAACTGGGTTTTTGATTATTTTATAAGTCTTTAAATAAAATAAATTTTAAGCTTTGGATCATACCATTCACTTCTCTTTACAACTGACGTGAATAATCCTCTTTCAATAATAATTATTAATTAACTGTAGTCTTTAGGGCAAGTCATTATATTTTTTTTAATATTTACAAACCTTTTACTTACAGAATAAGATTATCTTTTAATATTTAATTTTATGTTCTCTAATACAGAATGTATCACTAATAATGCGATATAATATTAAAGTTTTAATTCAAACAAGTGCACAGTTTTAATTAAAGATCTAAAAATAATAGCAAAATTTATAAATAAATTAGCTTCATAGTCCTACTTTCCAAAAGACGAAAAATCATATATGAAACCTTTTTTACACTCAGAACTACACGAAGGCTGTAATATTCGAACTGAAATTTAAAAAAATATACTGTGACAACAGATTTAAGAATTATGACATTGTATTTGAAATAAATAAATAAAAGGAAAATATTATTCTTATAAGCGATTAATTAATTTTTAATTAACATTAAATAGAAATGAAGAGTTTATCAATGTCGCGATGCTGCGAAGTAGAAACGATGTGCGGTCGGAGCCTAAAAGAAGGTGTTATGTTCGTGGGAATGTCTTCTTTGGTAAAATATGTAGAATATTTTGCTTCAATTTATGAACTAAAGCTTCATTAACTATAAATTATGAATCCAAATACATATATATTTTTCATGATCCAACTTTCTCAAATAAATATAATTATTTTTTGTTAAAATGTCATATGTTTAGATAATTTGTTATTAAAACACTATGTCTATTTATAGTAATGAATTTTGTTGTTTGTTTATATTAAACAGTCAAAATGTGGCTTATAGCACTACAACATATATAAATATAAAATAATTTTCATGTGTAATGTTTATTTAGTGGTGTTGTCGAACAACATGACATGATTTGATTAATGCATGTCATTGTTTTTATAGTTAATATCTTTAGTACTATTATTTTCCTCTGCGGGATTTCTGCTGAGTATCACACGATCTGATAGCTTGTACAACACACAACCCATGGTGGCAGTCAACTTGATTTTCACTCTAGTGACGACCTGTCTCTCCCTATACCAGATTGTAATATCAGTACTGCTCGTTTGGCAAGCAAGACAGGTATTAAGATTTAAATCAATTTCAATTAATGAATACTATCTTATAAAATTATGAAAATAGAATAAAGTGTCAGTTTTCAACATTATAACAACTAAAGCTATATTGAAAAGGAGATGGAAATATCCAAGACTATATATCTGTGCATTTCCAGATCAAAGGCAATATATTTCTGTGCTCTCTGTGGTACGTGTCCCACTTATCATTGCTGACGATATACTGCTTGCTGTTCAGTTCCAAGATCGTCGTATACTGCCTCAAGAAGCATTACTTTGCAGCCACACTCACTATAGTTATTGGCATCATTTACGAAGGTATGAAGTTATACCGTAAAGTTATATTTCAATTAATGAATATTAATAGCTGGTTTTGCTTATTTGCAGTTACATTTACATACTTTGCGATCGTGGTCAACAGTTACCTACACTCTCTAAATCAGGAGAGATATCTTTAAAGTTTAAGTGTAAAAATTTTAAAAGGCTGTGATTAAATATAAAGCATACATTTAAATTGTAATATTTTATTAAATAAAATATGTTGTATATTAGCTAGTGTCTCATTTATTTATATTTATATCTAATATGGATTGTTTTGCCAAATATCTTAAATAAGCGATTTGTCTATTTTCTTGTAACGTCTTTAAGCTTGGGAACCGTCCCGTTAAGGATTTATAAAGGCTTACATTATACTTAAATACTATTTATGTACATATTGTATAGAATAAACATTTAAAGAAATATTTCATAAAAAAAGTACGCCACAATATTCTTTTTATTTATATTAATGAGGCTTCTTTTTTTATTGCAGGGATTTTAATTCCTTTGAAGTTTAAATTCAGAACCCTTCCGAAATCTTCAAGCAATCACTTATTGCATAGAGATATTAAAAGACTTTGAATTATTTTTCATAAAAAGCCGGTATTAATATAAAAATAATATAAGACAGTTCACTATTATTAAGAACAAAAGCACTACATTTTAGTATGAAGTTCAATAAAATTTAAGTCATTATGAATTAATACAAGAGTGGTACAAATAAAATAAAAGGTGACAAATTTTACATAGACAAGTTTTAATCATTACTCTTTTATTGGGGTATGTTAACAAAGTGAGTTATAAGCATTTTTTATAAGGTTTATCAAATGCCAATTAAAAGTTTTTTCCAGAGTATTATTATGTATTTTTTGTATACTCATAATATTTAATTTCTCTTATTTTAGTATTGACTTTGTTATTTGAATTTGAATGGAAGATATAAAAAACGTAAAACTTAAGGACCTTACAAAATGATGTTCCTTTTAATAAAATTTCTGGAAAACCTAAAACATCAATCTAAAGAGTTAAGTACTTACAAAAATTAAAATGGAGTTTTATACAAATCATTTAAGAAATCAAAAGAAATCCGAACATAAATTAAAAAAAATAAAACCTTAAGACACAACTTTTTCATCTGACCTTAAACGCAATAATAATTGGGACGGTCTTATGGCAATAGTGTACAGTGAATTTGAACAAAAAATATTTCCCATGGTAGAATTTCACTCTAGATATAGGTGATAGCAACCACAAGCTTAATGGTTCTATTAGATTACCTCAATGAGATTACACCTTTAATTATTGTTTAATTTAAATATATGACATCATTTTATATAAAAAAATTACTAGCTAAAAATTTTCAAGGATGTTTCTTTTAATATTTCATTGTTTTCATTCGAAAACGTTTTTTTTTTAGTTTTAACTAACTGATAAAATGTAAACAAATAAAAACTAAAACTAAATAATGTTTTTGGACATATATTTTTAAACTTAATTTAAAATGCGAAATGAACTAAAGTAAAACACTCGTACATCACAAGAAATTAAAAAAAGTTTCAGCCAGCGCGACCGAGTTTAAAAAAACTTTGCCACCGCTACAATGCGATAGATTCACGTATATTTCTGTATATTTCACCGAAGTTGTCTCAACTTGGTCGTTCGTTATTTACCCTTACGACAAACTCGCAAGCATTGTTTTACTTTAAATTCATTTTAAAATTACTGTTAAATTACATAAAATAAATTTACTCCGTTCTCATTGATAAATTATAAAACTTATCTTACAAAGTAATTAATTATTCTCAGTAATTAAAATTATTTGGTTTCATTTAATAAAGTTTACTTTTGGAAACAAAAAAATTAAATAAAAACCTGCTAGAGCGTAGTTAACAATTAAATTATGCAGTAAAAGCTGTACCTGAAAATCCAATTTTTATTAAATGGAGAGGTTCATGAATGAAAAATTTGTACAATAAGTTAAACCTAATTTATTTCGTTATTTAAAAAGTAAAATGATAAAATTTTTAATGCATTTTCTTGTGTAAATTACATATAGCTAATGAAATATTCCTTATCCATCTTCTAAATATAAAATGGAAACAGTATGTATAAAATATGTATGTAATAAATAATAAAAATAAAACAAAATATAAAGTGTGTATAAAAATATAACTAGTCTTCTTAAAAATAATAATCAAGCAAACTCCGTGTTTTCTCCACAAAATACTCAAAATTATTCTGCGTCCACCAAACAACAACGTTGACATTGGCAAAATATTAAACGACTCCAGTGCCAATGAGACGATATCATAATAAAATTAAATATTAACAAAATTTTATATCTATGAAAATATTTAGCATTTCAACAACACTACAGCAACCCGTCGCTTATTAAAAGGCTTTTATCATAGGCTGCGCTAAATGTCTATTTAAGGGTTTCGTACTTGTCATGCATCTATGAAGGATTAGTATTTATTTTAATTAATTATTATTGCTTTTTTCTCCATACTGTAGTATTCAAATCCCCTGTCGTTTCCTAATAGAACAATTTTTATGATAACAATATATTATATGGTCCATAACATACTATATTGTGAACGTAGAATAATCACCCTAAATGTTCTAGAGAATTAGTTTTGTAGAACAAAGATTCAGATTAACGCTTGGATTCATGAAGAGGAAGCGTGTCACCGGAACTGCAAGGTTCCTCTGCCATAAAAGTTTCTGGACTCCGAAAATGACCTTAAGTATGTATATATGAACTATTGGTTAAAACCTATATAATCGTATGTTTTTTTTAAGTAGTACAATATAGGTTTATAATTGAAAGACAAAGTACAATACTCGCATAAACTGCACTGAGTGGAATTTGCGTAAAAATATTTACTTTATGAGAAATAACTCCTCCGATGCTAAATAATTGAAAACTTTATGCATTTATAACATTTGTATGGATTGCATTCTCTTAAGAAATATGTAACTGTAAAAAAAAAGTACTATAATAAATATTATAAAAGTGTATCCGTCTTTTACTTCTTCACGTTTAAACAAGTCCATTACCTCTACTAGATAAACCGATTTAAATGTATCACAGACACAATAAACACTGTGAAAAGATACACTATATGTCTTTGTTTTGAAACGAAAATTTTTGTATAATTTTCTATTAATACGGTATCTTTGGTCTCTTTTAGAACCTTTTCTTTTTATAACCTTTTAAATATCGCTTCAACTATTCTTGTCACTATCGCATGTCGCATTACACCGTCGTTCAGTAATGGTAAAGTAAGTGATGGATAGAGCTCGACAGAGATGGGCTCGTTTTTGTCTACTAACATCAACTAGCGAATTTATTTAACTTCATTCCTATAAATGTTTTTCGGAGATTGTATTTAAGATAAATAATTTCAATAAACATTATGATTAATACCTCCATAACATAAATCTTCAATATGAATCATTTTTCATCATATGTTTTAAGTTAACTAACTTTCAGATTATAATTAGAATGTATAATTAATAAGGTGTCTAGTGTCTGCCGTTGATTTTCTATGAGCCAATTATAGTTACGTTTAAAAATACAATCTTAACATCCTTAATAATTTAATTTCTAAAGTTAACAACTTTATACATATAACACATACCACAAATTTGTTTTAAACTCTATTTTAAATTTATGTATATATAAAAATTATCTGAACTCTAAAACTTGTTTTATGAGAATGGAAAATGTATTTTCGTTATACATATTCCTTTCGCAACGGAAATAAGGTAAAGGAGGTTGTAAAGTCGCCTGAGGTGCTTTTAACGTTATTATTAAATATCTACTTTTATCTTTGAATTCTCAAAAGATCAGTTATCAAATAGATGACAGATATTAATTAAATTTTTATTAGAAGATATTCATTTAAAAGTTGTGATACTAAACTAATATGTTTACTGTTAGTTTTTATGTGTAAGGTTAAATTAAATTTGTTATAAAATGATATTTTTAATTCATGTACTCGCACTGAGATTTTATTCATTGTATTTTAATGATGTATTTAATGAAATATACAAAAGTAATACAATACAGAGAGTCAATGAAACATAATACATTACAACTCTGTAACTGTATCAATTACTGATAATTGACGATATCTGTAGTTTCGTTTTATAGCATATTAGCCTTAGTACGAATATGTATAAAAAGTGTCAGATTTTAATTCGATATTTAAAAATAGTACTATACTTTTTTTTTGGATGACGCAGGAAAACTCTTTTTACGAGCCTTCCAACCGACCTTGGTTATGTGTGAGACTCGGTCTGGGCAGGGCCCTACTCACTAAAACCACTGCGAAAGCCATCGGCCGCTATGTCGGTGTACCCCGGATCTGTCAGCGACAGAGCACACCAGTGACTGGCCGATCCTGGCCAAGACCGGACTTACTCCCTCGAATATGACTATACTTGGAAGTTCCGTCAAGTCCTAAACATACATATTGTAGTATACATATTTTTTGAATATTATTTTCATGAAAACCGTTTTGAGAAATAAAAAGTACTTTATTTAATAACAGACTTTTAATCTGTCTTTCTGCTAAATTTATATGTATATAATACAAAAAATTAATTATTGGGCCTCAAAACTATTATCTTCGAAGTACGTTAACATAACATTTTTACGAAAACGAAAAAAAAATGACAATGAGAAAGACTTTAGGCATCTATCACATGAGTAATCCGCGAACAAACTTAACTGAACAAAATTATAGAATTTTAAAGATTTTTTCTATAGAACAAATATTATATTCTGTAAAGACACCCGTCCTTTCAATACTTTGAATAATGTTTGGGCTACTTACAGACCGTTTTCAATAAATTATAATTTTCTAAGATACAACAAAATGTTCTTCAAACCATTTTATTGACAGTCAGAAGCAATGTTAATGTATTCTATATGTAAAAAATAAATGTAGACGAAAACATTGACAGGTTTGGTTAAACATAAATTCATACTAAGGCTATGAAACACGTTACAAAAAGCCATAATTTATTTAAATGACAATAAGCATCAGTACAAATGTTCAGATTACGTCCTATAATTAAATTGTTCTATCAATACACGTTGAAAAGTTTATTTTAATAATGTTTTGAATATATTTCATTATTTAATTTCACATTTTGTAGTGGCTACAAGAATTGGTCTCAGATGGATGTTTTAGTTTTTAGTCTCAAGCGTAATCAATTTGTAAGGCGAGAGAAATTTTTTTAACTTCTTAAAATGTTTAACAATACGGGTGTTTTAAAAAATTCAAATCATACGTCAATAAAGGGAGTTACAAATTGACCACAATCTGTCATTGCAATAAAACATAGGAGAAACGAGTAACAATTTAATAATAAATATATCTATATGTTTATATATACAGTTTATATTTTAAATGAAACATATTACAGGCCACAGCAATGATTTTAAATAAAAAATAATATCTTTAATTTATCTTCACAATATAAATAAAACAAGGTATTTCAATACGTATTTTAAATTATGCATAATGAGTACAATGTCAAGTACCAAATTTATGAGTCAAATAGTTATGGACAAAATTCAAAGAATATTAATAATTGCTTATTAGGTCAAGGGCTTTGATATATTATATGTAAACAAAGCTAATTACTAATTGGGGACAGTCATAAAGGACGTCGTTATATATTAAAAACATAAAATATTCTAATTAATTTTTGTATACATAAATTATATTTCTTATTTTTTTTACAAAATATTGGGATATTTTTTCTACAGTCCTTTGTGATGAAAAAAAACAAACAAACAAAGAAAATTTTAAAATAAACACAATTGTAAATACACTATGAATTCAAGGAAACTCGCAATTAATTAGTGTGAGCTATTTAGTAGCTATGAATGTATTATAGACCATCAATTATATGTTATTTGTAGTGCTTTTGCAATTTAGCAAACTCTAAAGGATATTTCGGAAATCGACCGCACTTTATCAAAACTAGTGCGTGCGTCACGCACTGCTCAAACATAATTGTCGCGAGCTAACGACCGTACATAGTTGTAATTATCAAAATCACTCGATAATAGATGCGCTAGATGCAACATCCTGTGCTTTTAAATTTTGTCAAACCGTATATTCTAACGCAGTCTGTATAGTGACTCTGATAACGTATGGTTATAAAATGTCACCGCAATTTTTCGTTTTGTTGTTAATTCTGAATAGTGTTTCGTCACAAATAAATGGCGAATTTTGGTGGCTTAATGAAAAATTCACGAAGTTGCAGCAGGTTGAGCCACCATCTCCAACAATAGAAGATATAGGAGAATTAGAAACCGATGAAAGTGATAAAATCATTTTTAAAGATGTCAAAGATGTTCCAGAGGATATTGACAAAAATATTAACTTTTCTCTCAACGAAGGTGAAGTTTTTCCCGGATTTATTCAGTATGATTTAGCTAAACCGCCAATTGTTGATAAAGAAAATGTCACCAGTCAGAAAAATACAACGAATAATACCGATGAAGATTTCAAAATTAATTTCATTCAAGCAAAGAAACAAATAAAGAAAGTAAGTATTATATTACATTACATAAAAGTTTTGAATTATAACTGAGAGTTACTCATATTTTATTAAGATATTTTGCTATTTTTATGAGATATTATTCGTATTTATTGCTATTTCATTTAAGGATATTCGGCCAGAGGCAACCAATATATTTTATAACCCGAAGAACGATAAAAAGTCTTATTTGAAATATGGTATAACACATCCAGGTTTAATTTATTATAAATTAACAAAACCTATTGCCATTAAAAATAAGGATATGAGTAGTTACAAGAATAAAATATTTTTTTCCGATAGTGAAAGAAATAAGGAAAGTTTAAAACAACCTAATTCACCTGATACGAAAAAAGATTATCAAAAAGTTAATAGATCTCCGAATAGCGGTGATGAATTCAAGTTTGTTTTTCCTGGTGATAATGAATACTTCCGGGACAGAAAACCTCTAAGTGGGGAAAGTGTTAATAATGTTTTAAACATAACGCATACAAAAATCGATGGTAACAACAGTGAGAATTTTAATAAGATAAATATTTTGAATAAAACTGTATATTCAGGAAAGATCGCCATAAATGATAAAATTGATTTCGATGAAGATAAACCGATAATAGAATCTGAAAGTATTTGCACGTTTATTACAAAACATGAATGCTTACTCAACAAGGGTACTGTTCACATGTCTGGGTATGCAATTTCCAACTTAAAAATAATATGTAGTACCATAAATAAAAATTTATTAACAACTTACATTATTTATATTTCCAGATTATGTCCTCTGAATTCTTTTCATAATTATCACAGAGTTTGCTGTATACTTCCTCTTTTTCCATATACCAAACAATCACATCAAAGCGAAATCCTCAATGGAAGCCGGTACAAACGATCTAATGACGATGAAATCAGTCCAGCACTCAAACAAAGAAACGCTTTGTTGCAACGAAAAAATTTTCCTCATGCGTTTAAAAATAACCAAGATAGTACAACAGATCAATCTAAAAATCAAAAAATCGTAACCCCTAGCGATTACGTGGATCCGTATTGGAATGTGAAAAACTTTAAATTTCGTCAACAAAATAATTTTAATGAGGACAAAGATAAAGAAAAAACAAAATTTGACTCAAGTAGTAAAGATTATTCAGACGATTATACAGCAGAGGTACCTAAACCTGGACTTTTAGGTGCTTATACAGATCGTGATGAACGTCTTACTACTTGGAAAATGAGAAATAAAGCCTACTCATACGATGGCTATGACGAAATAAGTGAAGAAGATAGCGGAGAAAGTGACATGCCGTTCGGGTACTCATCGTTTGATCCAAGACAAGGTAAAACTCAAGAAAATTAATTTTCAAATTCAAACAGAACGGTTATAATCAATAATTAATAAAATGTTATAGGTAATCGCAAGAAAAATTCCAGAAGCAAAAAACGTAAACCTCAAAGGCTAATGGTAACATCGACAGAAGAGAACAAAGGATCAGAGAGCCAAACTATAAATTTTCATTCGAGGCCGGATTTTCATGTACTACATGGTTTTAAACTTGTTAATTTATCAGGGAATAAAAATAGATTTGTTAGAACTACCACAGAAACTTTATGTGACAGTCAGGATACTTCCAACGAAAATACATTTCCAGAGGTCGAAAATCCGGATGATATTTACGACGACACGATTGATTTAGATCAGCAAGTTTATAAAGATTGCGGAAATAGTGTTACCAACACTCTCAATAGCAATTTCAGTAAGCATATTTCATACTTATATAAAGCAAATATCATAAATCAGGAAAAATACTTGTAATAATTATAAAAGTCTGCATTACAATTATTTTCATTAATAATTAATTCTTAATATAAACTGTTTTTGAAACTAAACAAAAATATAAGTCTTTGTAGAATAATTTCAATTAAATTCAATAACATTTCTTAACAGAAAAAACACATGACGAAACCAACCCTTGGCTTTCGCTTGTCGTGTTAACAAAAAGTCCACAGACTATATTATGTTATGCCACAATAGTACATCCTCGTGCAGTCATTACAGCTGCCGAATGTGTTCAAGGGTGAGTTAAAACAAATTAATTCATTATATACTTATATAATTTATTATATATTTTAGTGACGAAATTAAATAATTGTATCCACTTGTAAACTCTATATATGATAATACGAAAGAAAAACGCCCCTACCCCTCGTTTACTTAATAAACTTGTTTAAAAATATATTCATCCCTAAGCTCATAATATTAATTAACATTGATAAAAAAAGGAAATAACAAATTCATGACAGCAACATTCAAATCTCTATTGAAAGTTTTTATTTAAGGCAGTCCTGAAATAGTCGTTAAAATCTGTTTGATTTACAGTAAAATCGCTGGGGACGTAACTGTTCTAACTGGTATGTGGAAACTGAAGAATGATAAACCAATACCACAACACCGCATGGCCTCGGTTTACATTCATTCCGACTATAAACCTGGAGAACTTGCGAATGATCTTTCTCTTTTGGTACACCCTTATTTGCATATAATCTTTTAGTTACAAAATTAATTAAAATTAATTTATTTATTCATTCATTCTTTTCCATTTTCACAAACACTTCAAAAGAAAGAATCTTGGATATTGCAGAATCCTGAAATTAATCAAAAAAAACCTAGTCTAAGAGATTAAACGTTTGTATTTTCTATCCGTACTAACGGCTAACAATAGTGAGTCCTCTTAAGTTCCTCAGATTATTTTTATCTGTTTTCTTTTAGAATACAGCATTTAAAAGAGATTAACAAAGACTTAAGCACTCTTTTGTTTCTTTAGTATTGGAAGCGGCCATTACAACTGGCAGCGAACATTCAGCCCGCATGCCTCGCTGATCCTCATGTTGGAGACGATTGTTATTTCGTTGGGTGGGGTGGTTACGATCAAGGTATACCACAAACTAATTTAACATAATTCCTAACTCATTAACATTTTTTATAAAATCTACTCGAATTTTCTTTTAATCCAGAGCAACGTGAAATCATAGCATAGTAAATTTTAAATCTTTGTTTAGTTTAAAGACAAAATATATTTATTTATAATTTAATATAAAGCTTAAATTAAATTAAGTCTTAACTGATTGAAATATTTTAATTACTTACATACACACAGAAAATTTAAGCAATTAAATATCTCCACAAAGCTTATTTGTTCAGAACATGCTTGCTTGCAATGCGTATGCTAATTTTAGAGCGAAACTTAATTCCTTAGTAATAATATAAATTAAACTAACAAACTTCAATTTATTCAGAAAAGTTAATATTAACATAATTACTAATTTAGTAAAATGTAATATTCATAAAAGAAAAAATGCAGGAGGTTTTGAAGTGAGAAATTTTGAGGTGGTAGAGCCTAGCTGTGGTCAGTTACTACAGCTCGAACATGGGCTGGCTCGACCGGGGCTCTCACAAAAGATCGGCGTGAAGTAGTCTTTAATGGCTGCGTTTCGTCCGATGAGTGAGAGAGCCGGTTGCTCTTTCCTTATTCCGACCCTTTCCTACCATTTCCTTATTCCCACCCCTCCCTATCCCAAAAAAAAAAACAAGGTCGGCAACGCATCCGAAATAAAGATGTTGCAGATGTCCATGGGCGACGGTAACCACCTTAGATCAAGTGGGCCGTCTGCTCGTTTGCCACCTTTAACATAAAAAAAAACAGCTAACACGAAAAAGGAAATTGAGATTAGGCTATTTTTAAAACATCCCGAACAAAAGAATATGTTGGGGAAATGAGAAATAAATTCGTAATATAATAATTAGGAACTACAAATCACATTATTTTACAGAAGATAATATCATATTATAACTATATCATGCAGGTTTAAGTCATCATCCTGACTCTCAACAAGCTACTATACTCACGCCTCGTATCTGCGACGAGAAATTATCATCACCAGAACTGATTCTACCTCCAGGCGCGTTTTGTGCTTCAGTTGAATCACGTGGCACTGTAGTGAGTAACATAATAAATCAGACATCTTAATATGTATAATAAATCAGTATTATAAAGTCTTAATTTAAATTACAATGTGTATATTTTTTACTTTTATAATGTGTTATGCTTAGAAATTCAATTAATCATTATCAACTACTCTAAAAAAATAGTAACAAAGAAATACATTACTTGGATATATTTTTCATAATAAATCAATGCTACATCTAAATGTTTACTTACTATTACTACTTACTCAGTTTCCTATTTATTACCGGATCTCAAAGTCAATAAGAAACTGTTTTCAAAGAAAACCACAAAGCTATTTCAAACAAGAAACTTTGAATGAATCGAACTTTCACTATGGATTTCTAAAGAACTTTATAAATCTTCTACATATTAAAACCTTCCTCTTAATAAATCGTTTTTAAATCAAAAAACCCCGTTTAAATAGCGTGAGAATTATCGAATATCCTAATGATTTAGAAATTCTACACAATATTGGTGAATTTATGGAATAATTTGTCTCCTTCTGGTTGCAAATCGATGATAAAATTTATCGATTATATTATAGTCCGTAAGACTTAAGCTTGAGCTTTGCATTTGTGTGAGTGAAAGTAAAAGTAGAGTTAGACAAGAAACTTTTGGAATTATATTTTAAATAGATACAAAACATAAGTTCTATAAAATAAGCAAAACTTGTAAAAGGTCACATAAAAATATTATGAATATTATGGGGAAAAAAATTATTGTTTGGAAAAACTATACAAATTCTTATTCACTTGACATTGCGTTTTCAACATTTGATTTTGCTACCAGTACAAAAGGTGAAGTGCGGAAGGTGCGAGGCGGAGTAAAAGCAGAATAAACCGGTTCAAAACTAGAAAAGAACGTGGCATTCAAAAATTTGACATCACACCTACACTATCCGTGTGCACTCTCACAAATGCAAAGCTCAGCTTAAATCAAACGCACTATATCTTTGTTTTTAAGACATGTATTCATATTATTTGTTATCTAGACAGGTATTGGAGGTGCTCTTCTATGTAAGGGCGCTGGTGGACGAACGTCCATTGTAGGAGTGGCGGTATATCGAGACAATATTGTTGTCTTACTACCGACATTTGAATGGGTCGTCGCGGCGTTGCGACACCACCAAATAATTTAAATATATGGGTACGTATTTTAAAATAATATCTTATAATTGTCACTAATGATAATAATAAGGAAACATTTTATTTAATATTATATTAATGATTCTAGGACATTTAAAAATATTCTGAGATTGTCACAATATGCAACACTATAAAAGCTTTTTAATATGTAAGTTGTTTCGTTAGTAATTTAAAAAAAATATTTGTCAAACAAGTAATAACATTGACATTGTAAAATATTTCACGATTCAAGTGCAAATGAAGTTAAAAAAAGTCGTTTTGTTGCATAATTTATGACAGATGGCGCTAAGTACAGAAAACGTATTGTAATTGAAAATATCTCCTCGCATGCTTTTAAATGGAAAGAAAATATTCTTTCCTCCTTGTCCTTTTCTCCTAAAACGAGAAAAATGCCGCGGCAAACCATAAAATGTGCTACTAATGTTATATATATATTTTTTTTAGTACGATTATTTACAAACTAACTTCGATAATTTGTGAAAGGACAAATACAAATTGCCTGCGACTTTTAAAGAATGTTATTAGATAATATTATGTGTTTCTTAAAACACATGAAGTAGAGTTACAATTAAGCATGTCTGTTCATGTGTTAGTGAACCCTCAAAAATCCATTTGAAATTTTGCCTTAATACATACTAAAATATACAGGGTGTATGAAAAACTGTGTCAACCCTCTTAGCTACGTTATCAGTATCGATAATGTAACACAATAAAACAACTTACATTTACAAACTCTTCAATAAAAATAATAAAATTAAATATTAAATTATTATTGTATGTAGAGTAACAAAATGTTTGTAAACCCTGGTATAACACGATGACACGCAATGACGTCATCACAGCTGCTGCGCTACTAGTGACGACCTTGAAGTTACTTTCACATTATTGAAAATATCGATATTTAAAAAATCATAACAATAAATAAATATTTAATATTCATATTATTTCGATACTTATTTTGATATATCAAACATTAATATTATGCTTGATTGTAAAACACCATTTTTGACAGAAATAGATTAAGGATTTATCCTAATAATACAACATATGTAGTTAATTTACCTGAACAAGTTTCAAATTATAATATTTATTATTAATAAAAGTTATTTTAAATGAAATTATTTTAATGTGAAAAGCATAACTATTTATAGCAATATTGAAAATGTCGATAGAATATTTATCGATATAACTAATTTTTACACTTTCAAATCTCTATTCGAACAACTAACAGAATAGTAATAATAACGCCGGCGGCCCGGTGCCTGCGGTCAATGGTCACGCATGCGCCGTTGCGACTATACGGTGTCTTGACCTTGTATGAGTCAGATGTTTGGAACATTTCTTCGAATAATGTCGATTTAAAACTTATTTGCCTATGCACTGTAACTGACGTCTGCTTGATATTTTTTAAGTTATACTATTTTTTATAATAAGCTTATACTTATATGTATACATGCCTTCAAGGGTTGACACAGTTTTTCATACACCCTGTATATTGATAAATAATCAATAAATTTGAGTGTTATGTCTCTACATACAGGTACATATATACATATATGCGTATATTCGTTTGTGTGTGCACATTTATGGAAATTTAAATAAAACACCAAACCTTTTTTTCTATACACTTTATTAAATTTATTATTCAAAACCAATTTTATTCGTAACCAGCACTGAATAAAATTTTATATTCTTGTATTCCCTACACACCGACGAGACGTAAACAACAACTTAATACACGAAGAAACAATTGTCTACATAAAAATAATTTTTGAACCAATACAATTATTTAACACAAATCAACAATGTCCACTAGAAATTAATTATTCTCAGCAACATTTTTATTTACGTGAATACAAAAAAGTTTAGTACTTGCTTCATTTATAATAATTTATTTGAAATATAGATCTATAGGAACTAGAAAAAAATCTATACAAAAAAAAAATATTATCAACTGGGAATGTCGAGATCCTTACTACATTGTAACGTCAGTTCAACACATACAAATTATTATAATACATTGTACATTTAATATTTATCTTTGGTGTCGAACTTGAGGCAAATACGTCGTTAGATATAATTAAAAAAATCTTAAACCATACACAAAAATATAATTCTTTAAATAATAATAATCATAAGTCTTTTAATGTGAGCCCGATAAATTTTTTTATTAGGATATATTAAAAAAAACTATTATATTTTTGGTGTTTCTATAGAATAGGATAGAAATTAAAACAATTGTATTTATTATCTTTTACAATGTTGCTGGATTTATATAACCGTACTAAAGTATGCGAATAAAAAAATACTTAAAATAATAATGTTAGTAATACTCTGAGCATTATAATTAAAAATTTATGTGACAATAATATGGTACTTGAAAATAAAAACGCCTCAGACTTCACGGCGAAAAACAGAACAAAAAAATTTTAAAGATCACTATAAAAAAACTAAAAATTTAAATTCACTAACATTTCTTAATAAGACGTCTACTAGAAAATGCATAAGAATATAATGTCGAATAAATATAATACACAATAAATACTACCTGACGAATGTCATAGCTGCTATTATAATTTATCGAAGAAAATCTTAATGTCTATGAAACCATACCAAAATATTTCACGGTTACGCTATGAAAGTGAACCGGAACCAAACGGTTCTTCAAACGGGTTTATATGAAACGGTTTCATTGCATAAATATGAAACGGTTTCAATGAATAAATATGAAACGGTTTCTTTGTATAATATGAAACGGTTTCATTGAATAATTTTATTAGATATTTTTTTATTTAATGTACAAATCTATATCAGGGCTATGACAAGAACGCTATCACATTTCAGTTTACGCTATAACGAGCGGCTCGTCGTCAGAGAAACCGTGGATCGGAGGCACGTCGTCGTCATCTGGAATATAATATACACACGTTTGTTTTGTAATTTTATATGTTTTTATTAAGAAATAAAATTTTATTTTCATGAGTTTGTTTCTATAAGACATTATTTCTAATTTAAATAACGATAGATATAAATAAAACAACTAATTAAGACAACAAAATAAAAAAAAAGTCGAGTTATTTGAGATTAAAATTTAAAAGTAATATGAACGTAAAATTTAATACTTAAAAGAATTATACAGATTACAAAAAATTACGACACAGGATTGGTACCAGTGACTTCCTGGACATAAGATATATTCAAAAACATGTAAGAGTCGAAAACTATTCTTTGATTACAAGACAATTTTTATACAACATTGTAATAGACCAATTACAATGTACAAAATTATTAATATTTTGTATTATTAAGTCGTTTAAATGATAAACATGTAACAACATGGACTTATTAGACTTTGTACTAACGTATTAGAAGCTTTACGAATAACTCAAACATATTTTAATACGAGTATGAAAAAAAAAATTATAGATATATGGATGTTTGTGCTCTTTCACTCAAAACCTTAACAGTTTTCGATAAACTTCTCAGTAACAAGATTGAGACATAAGAATAATATATACTTAATAATTTATTAAATTAGTCACTAGTAAGGGACTATAGATGCCAGTCACATAAATTTATTATACATTAATTTGTCTCCACAAGCGGAAAAATAGAGTTATAAACATGTTTAATACATTTTAATACCTTCAAGGCTTTTATTTCACCTACTATATCTGTACAAAGCTACAAAATCGTTTACCAAATCAAAACAGGTAATATTCAATATACTCGAAAATAATTCTCATATGATGCAGTATAATCATGTTCATTATAGTCCAATATACTTCTGTCCAATGTAGTCCAATATAATCCTACAAAGTATCCAAAGAAATGACGTTTATGTTATTATTACCGTGATCAATAGTAGCCTCTCCCCGTCGGCTGTCGTAGCGCGGTGTGTGCGCCAGTCTAGCGTGAGCTCTCCTCTGTTTGAGCACCACGTGTAGTAGGGCTCCGGCCATGAGGAGGGCGGCGCCGCACGACACGCCCGCACCCCACCACACAGCACCCGCGCTAGACGTACCTTCTAACGGCTCTGCATCTGATTGGAAATACGATATATATGTTTATTTATTATCAAGTTACAGATTTTTAGTAATTTTTTTGGTCGTAGAGAATTCTTAATCAGTATGAATTTTATTTATTTGAATGTGAAAATTTTAATCGTCGATTGTATTAATGTATATTCTATTGGCAGACATTACGATAGATTTTTATTATCACGTTACTGATTTTTAGTGATTTTATTTGGTAGTATAAAATTCTTGATGAGTATAAATTTTATTTATTTGAAAATGAAAATATTAAATTTTAGTTACATTCGTGTTGTATAATTTTATTGGCATAGGCAGAGTCATTTAAAATATAAACAATCTATTCATGTACTCATTTTCTCTAACGAAAGGTATGATGGTATAAAAAATTATTGTAAGCAACAGAATTAAACTAATACAAATAGTAAATACATATATGCTATAAGACTTATCACATGTAAAATAAACAAAAAAATCTTTGTATCACTGTAAAGTCAAGTCGAAATACTATGAGTATTTTAAGGGATCATTATATACTGGTTTATCTATATACCTTGCATTTCCATAGTATGTACTTCGCTCAGGTCGCTATAGTAACCGTCTGAGGTGACGGCCCTCACACCAACATATAATGGTCCCTTGGTAGGCGCGTGTGAGCTCAGCAACATGGGCGTGAACTCAGCATCAACGATTGTGACGTCATCAGCCGGGTGAAGAACATCATCATCTAACTCCTTCTCCGATATAAGAATCTGGTATTTATGCCTGTTAATAGATATATATTAAAAATTTAAATAAAATCTCAGTAATACAAGTCTATAATTGTTTCAAACTACTTCATAAACCTAGATACATATCATGTATGTTTCAAAAAGAATTTATATTATAAATTTATTTTCTGAATATTTATTTCTTTCTGTTTTCAGTTACAGTCTTCTATGATGCAATCTATACAGCGT